TTATGAGGTGATAAGCGGAGTGGTCGGTAATGGCTCTGAATATATAACAATTAGCGGATGCAAGGTAAACAATATCTACAATATGAGATTTTCTTGCAAGCCATTTGTTGCCGAAATCAATATGGTTGCTATCGGTCGAACAAACAACAGAGCAGGAGCACCAACAGAATTAGGCTTTGGTTCGCAATGGATTCGATGCTACGGAGGTAGAGAACTTGTTTCCGATATATTGCTACGTGATATTGAGAAAACATTTGACATATCACCTAATGGTGGATGCGTTATGAATGGCGTTAGTTACGGAACATATCCGACAGAGCCTATCAACTCATATTCCGAGGATTTGGTATTGTTCGCACATTCGCCTACTTATTCAAAAAAATGGAACGGCTACATATCCGATGTTTACGTGGGAGATATTGACAACAAGCCTATTTGTAACCTCATCCCCGTCCGCCTACTCCGCAACATCGAACCCTACACCACCCACAACGGAAAGGGCGGAAAGGCTAACGAGATAGGCTTTTTCGACACGATTTCGGGAAGGTTCTTCGGCAATGATGGCAGCGGAAAGTTTAGGAGATACTTTGAGGAGGGTAAGGATTACGAGCGGATTGCTGAAGCAGTGGTATCAACGCAGAGTACTATCACGCTCAGAGAAATGCCACAGACTTTAAGTATCAATCTGAACACCCCAAAGGATGTTAATTTCGGTGGTGAAGTGGTATTTGTGAGAGATAGTAGTAATAATATATCTCAATTATACCCAGACTCGTACCATGCAAACTATCCCTATCAGTGGACTAACAGCGGATTTGTTTTTAGTTACTGGTCAACTGATTTCCACGCAAAAAAGGACTATAATTTCCGCATTGACGAAAATGGCGACATCTACGAGAGCGACATAAAAAGGTCAATAAAATTCGCTTTATGGACTACGAAAACGGAATGTAGATTGTTTATAAGTAATGATGATGGAGATTTTATCTATAAATCCGTGTCATCGGATATTTTCAACCTCATCCCTATCCGCCTACTCCGCAACATCGAACCAACTTGCACCCACAACGGCAAGGGCGGAAAGGTCGGAGAGATAGGCTTTTTCGATACGATAAGCGGAAAGTTCTTCGGCAATGATGGCAGTGGAGAGTTCACGGAGTATGTGCCTTAATCTTGCAGAGTAAATCCGCTATCAATGCAAGTCGCTGATTGAGAGAGGGTTTTTGCTTGATACCGAAATCCGTTTCGGTATCAAATTAAACACATCGAATTCGAGGTGATTGGAAATTTACCAATAAATAGCATAAAGTCTAAGTCTGGCGAGGATTCCAGCTGCCTTACGATGATAGACCCCAAGGGCAACGAGGAAACCATATTCACGGCCGTGAAGGTCTATCTGAAAGGCGATGTGATGGAGGTTTCGTATCTCGACGGCAAGTATCACCGAGCCACACGCTACCACGAGGTGCAGCGGATTTCCGACAACGAGTATTCCTACAAATACAGCGAGGAGCTGCAATCCACATACCAAGGATAACCAAACACAAAACGCCCGGGAAATATCTCATTCCCGGGCGTTTTTATGTGGTTTTGGGGGTGCTTGTCAGCAAAAAATGTAGTATGCCAAAACAACGGCTATCAGAAACGACAGCAGGCATCGCCGGGCTATCTCGGTAGTATATTCCAGATCCTTGCCGGAGGCTATTTTTTTGCGGTCTCCCACAATGCTGTTTTGGCGGTAGAGTTTCTTGTGCTGCCTCTGTGCGATAGTGGCCACATCAATAGCCACTATGCTGTGCTCGTAGCCGTCGCACAGGAAAACGCCGTCGCACTCGTCCAATACCATAAGATTCTGCTTGTAATGTAAATCCATTATTTCCTTGCAAGTCATATCCAGATGGCCTTGTGGATATGTGAACATTACCACCACAGGTTCTAGACCTATCCTCATAGCATCTTGGATATACTCCCTCGCCTTTTGCTGCAATACACTATCGCCGGGATGAAACAGATACCCCGACAGGATTAACACTTTCTCTCTCATAGGCTTTTGGGGTTATGCTGGATATTTCTTCTCCAATGTAGGCAATTTCAGCATTTCCAGCCATTTGTTTATATCCTCGATACTGTCCACCGGGACACAGACGGTTGGATAAAATTTTCCGTCGGGTCTCTCTACTGGAGGGGCTGCGATAAATATAGTGCCATTTGTGCTGTAATAATCAACGAAGCCGTCCCTCAGGTCGTCAGTGCCGAAATCATATTTCATGGTGTGGGCGTGAGGGTTCGGCATGTGCGGATGGAATCCGTATTCCAGTAAATCGAAATTTTCTATCATAATTTAATGTTTGTTCTTAAAGGTTTTTTAAACTACCTCCCTTGCCTCGCAATCGCTGTAAAAAGCCATGTGCTTCGGCCTCTTGGGTGCGAGGCACACAGCCAGCGGATAGGGCTGTGTCTTATATGCCAGATATTTGCAGCCGTGAAGCAGTGGTATCAACGCAGAGTACTGTGCGGATGTTATGTATTTGAATCTGATGCCAAGCACCACGAATCCCTCCTTGCAGTATTCGGGATCATTCAGTATATACGTGATGTCGCACTTGCAGCTGTGGTTGGTGTAGCTCTCGCCGTTGTGCTCCCTCAGATGCAGCTCGTCGCCCACTTGGAAATTGCGGTCGTTCCTGCGGATCTCGAAAGTTTTCTTGCGTTCTATTACCGCCCGGTAGTATTCCGGCAGTATTTTCAGTTCATGCGTAGTCATAGGTTATTCCACTTTAAAATCCACACCTACACTGTCGATAGCCCTCTGCAATTCGCTTACATACTGGCATTGCGCCGTAGTAACCTTGCAGGTCACATTGTTGCCTATGTATGCGGTGTTATTGTATAGATTATACGAAATCAGATAGAATTTGTTTTTGATTACCATCCTGATATTCTCTGGTGGCTCTATGCTGAAACCATTCTGTTTCAGCAGATCCTTTGTTATAAGACTATTTCCCTCCATCTTTCAGATGTTTTAAGTATATGTCGAGCCGCTCCGATATATCGTGGAAATAGGCTGTGGCAAAAGCCATATTGTGCCTGTCGGCCTCACCCATCACCACATTCTCGCTCACCTTGGCTATCGTGGCCACGCAGCCATCGAAACGCAGCTTCATATCCAGTATCTCCTCCATATCCATCAAGGCCAGTAGATTAGCCAAAGAGGATAGTGCTTTCTGTTGTCTCTCCTTCTCGTCGAAGGCAGTGCGCTCCTCAGGAACATCTCCCAGTTGGTACATTCTGCTCATAATTGTATTGTTTTTGGTTTGATGTGGCAAATATAACAAAAAAGAAGTAATTACTTGACACTTTCACGCAAAATATTTATCTTTGCCCCATACAGTTATCATCAATGTTTCACAACTCAAATAAAACGCAAAATTATGGACATGGTAAACATTTTCCAGACGCTCACATTCCCGGTGGCCGTGTGTGCGGTGCTGTTCAGCATCATCCTCTATTTCACCAAGCACGCCTTGGCGATGATCAAGGATTACCTCAAAGAGGCCCAGGAGCAGAACAAGGCCACAGAGAACGCCTACATCGCCATCATCAAGGAGGAGACCAGCGTAATATCCAGCAACACCAACGCCTTCAACAGCCTCTCCGTGCTTATGGGCAAGCTGATATCCATTATCGGCGATAAGGATAAGTAAATACTTAAAAATTATTTTGTTGATTTGGTATTTATTGTTACATTTGCATCCAAGAACTACTAATATTTGACTACATTTTTCCATAGCCCTGCTAACATCTTTTTTTTCATCAACCATTAATTTTTCATTAGGCTATGGCAACTAACAAGAAAGCCGCAATTACGGCACTGTGGACCCGATCCACCTACATAGAGGACAACTACCCCTCTGTGGCTAAGGCTATCCGCACTAGCGGAAAGACCCCCTACGACGTTATCCAGAAGAAATACCCTGCCCTCATCAGCGAGTTTGCCAAGGCAGGCGGCCGTCTCTCCGGCTGTGGCGAGCCATCCCTCTCCGGCGGCGCTCCATCCGGCTATTTCAACGTTACCGAATCCAAGACCATCAAGCTCTTGCAGAACCTCGCCGACAGGCATTACACACAGGAGGAGCTCAAGGACATCATCAACAGCTACTGGCAGGTGATCACCGATCAGGTGGCCGAGGGCAAGAACGTGCAGATCTTCTCCGTGGGCTCGTTCCGTGCATCATCCAAGAACGGCCGTCCCCTCGTCAAGTTCTCCATGAGCGATGCCTTCAAGAAGCAGGTGGCCGAGATAGTGGACGAGAAAAACACCAAGCTCCCGGCATACGTACCGGGCAAGAGACCCAAGTTTTCTAAGTAATATCCCTTTTTCGCTATGGGCAGAAATCTAAGTACAGGCGTGCACGGCCTCATTGGCTCTCGCAACTATGCCAAGCAACCCCGTGTGGAGCACGACTTCTACTCCACAGGCGATGGCGCAATATCACGGCTGGAGTATGTATATCCGCTTCCCCACTCCGTATGGGAGCCAGCCTGCGGCGATGGCGCATTGGTGCGCCAGCTGGAGGCCGGGGGACACGAGGTGTATTCCACCGATCTCGTGGATCGTGGCTTCGGCACATCCGGCGTGGATTTCCTCTCTCAGGACACACTGCCGCCCGGCGTGGAGGCCATAGTGACCAATCCGCCCTACAATGTGGGCGTGGATTTCGTGCTCAGGGCCTTGCAGCTCATGGAGGGCAGGAAAGGCGTGGTTGCGATGTTCCTTAAAACCCAGTTTTTGGAGTCGCAGACACGTTATGACAGCATCTTTAGGCATACCCCCCCCCATTACGTTTTTCAGTTCGTAAAACGCATAAAATGCTACCGAAACGGTATTGATGATATGGGCGGTGCGCTTATGCCTTTTGCGTGGTTTGTCTGGGAGACAGGCACCGGCACTAGGGCCGATACACGCCTCAGGTGGATTTAATCACAAGAGTTATTTTTTTATGAAATCGAGATTTTACAAATATGGTGACCTGATAATAGACAACATCGAGGGCGGCTACTACTCCCCGGTGCGCCATTACAGTGCGGCCATGGGCCAGAGTGGCGAGACCATGTTTGGCATGGATCGCCGCTGGGGTGGCTCTGTGGTAAACGACAGCAAGCCCGGCAAGGAGTTCTGGTCCATCATCGACAGGGAGAGTGCCACTTGGCCATACAACTACAAGGGCGGCACCAACGCCAAGAAACTGCGCCGTCTGGCCTCCGAGATAATGTGGATAAGCTACGATAAGTATTTCAAGCAGTATCTCAGCAAGAAGGCGCAGCGCATAGTGTCACGCTCACCGAGGCTGGAGGCTCATTTCTTCTATGCCTGCTGGAATGGCGTGGTGCGCTTTCAGCAGTTTGCCGAGGCTATCAACAAGGCCGTGGAATCCGGCACCACCAGCTTGAAGGATTTGGAGCAGGTGGCGCTCAATTCACGTCTCAATCACTCTGTAGCCCTTCTGCGCCGTGGCGGCGAGATCTTCCGTGACAGGATTTTCCCGAAACTCAGCCGCCGCCGTGTGCCAGTGTGGCCGTTCTTGGCCGGGGGCGCTCTGCTTATTGCAGGGGGCACTGTATGGGCCGTAAAGAAGGGTAAAATCAGTTTTAGGCGAAAAAGGAGGTAATGAATGGAAATATTAGCGGATATATATGCTGGTGGTACTGTTTGTGGTGGTGTGGCGTACAATAAGGGAGTTCTTTATGCGCAATGGGTAGAGCCCAGAGGAGGCTCTTTCAATGTTCAGGGACGTACTTATGATATTCTTTTGCATCATATAGGTTCATACTATACCATAAAGCCACGAGTCAAGAAGTTGGAGCTGTATAAGTACGACCGATACATGGCGACTGACTTTTTCGATATAGACAGCAAGGAGCAGAATCCCGATGCTTTTGATGCCGTGGAAGATTGCGAATATATCTATGGCGATTTCGTGACGTATTCTCCATCAGACAGCAAGCCCATTTCCCCGGGGCTTATACCTAGATACAGGCAAAGGCTTGAAAAACCCATCAAGGGAAATCTGTATTTTGTGGAGTCTGTTTACAGGGAATACAATAATGCCGTAGGTGATTTTGTAATTGTTTATGTATTGCGCAGCTTCGACAACAAGAAGCTGATACAACGCACTATTGCGGTGGAGCAGGAAATAAAGTATTACACCGACAGGATGAGGATATTGCTTGCCGTGGCTGTCCATAAGCGATGGGCATTGGAGAGCGTGAACAAGAAAAAGGGAAAAACTCTCTCCAGCCTCGGCGATGCCGACAGCGAGGACGGCGACGAGCTTTCCGAAGAGGACCGCAAGCGTATGGAGGCCAAGCGCAAAAAGGTTTGGGATATGGCCAACAACACTTTCCGAATGGTGAATAAGCTGGAGAGCCTTTTCAAGGAGGTGAAACTCAGCGACCTGAAACCCGGCAATATCTTGGTGGAATACATATCCGGCAAGCCCTGTTTGGGCTATTCCAAGGTGATGAAAGTCAATTCGGGCAACAAGTGGTATCCTGTGGACACCGTGGATTGCGACCGCTCCGGCGTGCCTGTTACTGGCCATGGTGTCAGAGGCCACTACATTACGCCCACAGAGAAACTCTACATCATAGAGAGCCTTCCGGCACCACCAAAAGCCAAGGTGATAGGCAGGGAGACCATCAAGGGCGAGGTGTTCGACATCTATTCCAACACCGACGATACCATAGGCCAGATATACAACTCGCCATCCTTCTGCATAGGCCATCAGGTTTATTACGAGGTGGGCGGCCAAGGCAAGTATGGATATGTGAAATACCCGGATCTGTATTACCCCACAACAGAGCCCGGCGATGCTTACATAAAGTCGATAGCCAATTCACGGGACTTTGTGAAAGAATACCCATTCCTGCACCTATATCCCGGCTACGACAAGAAACTGAAATCCGACAATGTGAGGAGCTTGCTTAAAAAGCATTTCCCCAATACAAAATTCTCAATCCGCACCACCCACGACAAGTGCGAGATCTCGTGGGTGGACGGCCCAACAGAGGAGCAGGTGAGGGAATACGCCAGATTGTTTCAGGAGGCCGACGACAGCGACTATTACAGCGACTATCACTCGTCGGTAGATACGGATTTCACCCGGCTGTTTGGCGGATATGAGTATCTTGTAAACTGGACTTCTAGGTCGTTTTCGGATGATCAGAAACACAGGGTTATCGCCAACTACCCGGAGCTGGAGGGCCGCATAAACGCCCAAGATTTCCTCAACAAGTACCCCAATCTGTCGCAGGAGATAAGCGACGAGTACGGTGTGAAAATAGACTATTACAGCGAGCTGAGGTATCTGATGAGGTATGATATTGGAGTGGAGCACATCCTAAGGAGCGTGCCGCTGCCCGATTACGTGCCCATAAAGGCCAAGCAGAAAGGGCTCTCGCCTCTGGAGAAGAAGATCCGTGATGCGGTGGGCAGCGGCAACCTTATCGCAAAGATAGACGGCCGCTATGTGCTCGCCAAAAAGCAAGCAGTGGTATCAACGCAGAGTACTATATGGTCGGTGGGTTACAGTCAGCCGTCCACTCGCAACAAGGTGATACAGAAATTGCAGGATGCCGGATTCAAAACCGACGAGCAGACTAATTGGATATACCGCAACAGCGATATAGAGATATTCAACTATCCCGAAATGATGGCCAAGGTAAAGGCCGAGAGAGCAAGTATGGGACTTCCCGACACCTACAATCCATATTCGCTGATAGTGGCCAACTCGCTGAGGCGTATTTTGGAGAAACGCAACGGAGAGCTGGCATCCAATATGAGGAATAATAACAAATAATCACATAATTATGCTGACAAAAGACAACTTTAAGGCCGAGTGCAAGAAACTCGACAAGGCAGGCCTCCTCGACAAGGAGGCAATGGAACTGCAAACGATGATGGACGAGATAGTGCCATACTACAACGAAGCCCCGGAAGTGGCCAAGGAGATAGGCCTGTGCTGCGAGGCTCTGGAGGAGAACGCCAAGCTAAACAGCAAGGCCAAGGGCGTGGATATGCCAAAGGCAGACTCCAAGCCTTCCAAGAAAACCAAGGACGAGGAGGAGGCCGAGGCTGCGTTGGCCCTGTTCAACTTCAATCTCGCATTGCAGCTTCAGATTTCATAGTAATCACCCATTATTTTTTTTTGATATGAAAGTAACAGCAAAAAACATCCTAGAGAAGTGGGACGAGATAGAGGGCTACCTCAACGACAAAACCCACAACACTTTCAACCAAGGCTTCAAGATCATCATCAAGTTCTATGATGACAAGCCGGAGCACGCCGAGTTCAAGAAGAGCATAGACACCTTCATCGCCGATGTGAACAAGCAGCTGGCCAAAGTGTCCGACAAGAAGTCCGATGCCGCAAAAGACGATCCCAAGGTGGATAAGATGAGCGACAAGAAGGACGATGCCAAAAGCGACATCACCATAGAGCCCACAGCCGATACCAAGGACGATACCATCGTGGAGACCACATCGAGCGCCAAGCCCGACATCACCATCGACACCTACGGCCACGGCCTTATCGTGTACGGTCCTGGTACTACCGCCATCAAGGACAAGCTGAAAGCCATGGGCGGCGAGTGGAAGAAGCTCCGCAAGAAGGCCGCCGTTGCATTTGCGTGGATTTTCAAGCCTGAGGCCAAGGCAGACCTCGAAAAGCTCATAGGCGGCGAGATCAAGAAGGAGCGCATCGACATCATCACCATAGGCGGCAAGAAATACCGCATCGTAAAGGCCAAGGGCAAGTTCAAAATCATCAAGAAGGTGATGAAGGGCGGCAAGGCCAAGACCAATTCCGACACCAAGAAGGACACCTCCAACACCAAGAAGGACACTTCCAACACCAAGAAGGACACTTCCAAGGACAAGGCCGACAAGAAGCCCAAGCGCACACCAAAGCCCAAGGTGGGCGAAAGCCCCAACTGGTACAAGACCATGCGCACATTCAGCGCTGCCGCTGGCCACACAGTGCCCATCCGCAGCGTGCGCAAGATGCTGAGTGACTTGCAGGACAGGTTTGATGCCAAGCGAGACCTCAAGACTCCACACATCACCATCATCCGTGAGATACAGGACAAGATCCTGCCATACGCCAACAAAAAGACGGCCAAGGTGGCACTCCCAGCGTGGAAGGAGCTTGTGGCCAAGTGTAAGACAGCCATGAAAACCATCAACGTGGACGGCAAGGCAGGCTATTCCGATATGGAGAGCAAGTCACTGGCCGGATGCGGACGCAAGAGAAAATAATCTGGTCTTTTCATATATTTAATTTGTTTGTTTTTGCCCCGGGAGGGCATAGCGATATGCTTCCCGGGGATTTTATTAGTAAGTTGTTATGACCCCATCACTTTTTGACTTTGTCCAAAAGTCGCTACACAACAACGGCTTCAATGAGCTGATAGATTGCAGCGTGTATGTGTCGCCCAGTATCAGGAGGCAGATAAAGACCATCTTAGGCGTAGATGTAAGCAAGTATTTTATCAGCTCCAAGATACTGCGAGACATATACCATACCAACGGCCGCACCACCGAGTACACCAAAAGCGACCGCAGTCTCACCGATTCCGATATGGAGCACTTGCAGCAGGTATTGGAGCATCCCGACATCGTGAACGATGCCTCATACGATGTGGAGAGCGGTATGGGTGTAAGGATATGCAGGATGGTTGGCAATGCCGCCTATTGGGCCATATTGGAGGTAGACACCGAGCACGACGCACCTATCGCCGTATTGGCCAATTTCGTTTTTGATAGGAAACCGGGCAAGGAGACCGAGTTTGCCCCTCGCCGAAACGAGCAGCTGGGCGATGTGGACCCCTACAACGTGGCCACCATAATCAACGATGGCCTTCTGGATCTATACGACATAGCGGTGGAGTATGCCAGCAAGGACAGGAAATGCCGCATCGCACTCGATTGGTGCTCCAGTCTCAGCAGGCAGCTGACCCCGAACGCATTTATGGCTGCGTGTATGGTGCAGGAGGCTGGTTTCGACTTTTTTGAGGATTTGCCCAAGATCAAGGAGGTAAAGACAAAAGACAATGGTTATATGTCGATATTTCACGATGATATTCCTTCTCACGGCGTATATCCCACATTCCGAAACCCTATATATCTGCGAGCGTGGAAACCCGGCGATATAAGAGGAGAGGATAAGTATTATGGACTTGACACTAGATTCTACTCGTCGGAGAATACTACCGTACACGAGCTTTGTCACGTTATCAGGTTTGGCAGCATGGGCCTCAGCAATTACGAGGAATATTGCGAGGAGGAGAAAAACGTAAGCAGGAACATCACACATCAGGTATCTGCTATGCCAACCACAACGGAGCGGAGTTTCACGCCGAGGTATTGAGCGGAATACTCTCTGGCCGCTCGTTCAGCAAGGAGGTGATAGATGCCATACGCCCATACACCAATCCCGACAAGAGATACGAGAAGGCATACAATGCACTTGTAAGACAGGGACTGGACAATAAGCCCGGCGCATACGTGCCACAGATCATGAAAAAGGCCATGGGGCGTAAATGCAGTACCGATATAGCCGATTTTGCGGATCTATTGGATGCACGCAACGCTTCTGCCGATTTCAGGAGGACAAGGATATTCAAGTATCACGACGCAGTGGCGGACATGATGCCGGACTATGGCACAAGCTACATCAAGCGATACATCATAGACCTATATTGCAAGGTGGCCTGCAAGTCGCTCGATTGCATCTACAATAGCGCATTGTACTATGTGGAGCCGCATTTCAGGTATTCCAACGGCCAGAAGATAGGCACAGGCAGCGGACTGCTTGGCAAGATTACAAAGACAGATTGGCTGGTGGATTCCGCCTTCTACAATTACATCCAATACTCACTGTACAACCAGAGGTACACCATCAAGGATCAGAAGGAGATCCACATTATGACCAATAACCTGAGCTTTTACCGGGAATGGGTGCATACAATCAACGCACTGAAACAAGGCGACACCACAGTGCAGAGCACGCTGAAAAGGTTTGCGGCCTCTGCCGAAGAGCTGAGACAGCAGAAGGAGAAAATTAAGAAGAAAAACAAAAGAAATAGACTATGGATTTATTCACATCATACAACAAGCGCAGATCTCTCGGTGATGCCGGGAAGGTCAGGGTTTTCGACAAGGTGACAGACCTAAAGCAATTCCCAAAGGAATACGAGATATGCAGGAAGGTACTGGATGTAATAGTAGATAAGAAAACCAAGAGGGAATTATGCTATTTCTCCGATAATGCCATCTATGCAGCTACCGAATATATGATATACAAGCAGATTACGCCGTATCAACGGAAGCTCAGGAGGTGACAGCCCCAGAAGACAAGATTAAATCTAAAATAAATCTTTTGGATGATAAGTCCACAAAGTTGTCTGTGCTAGACAAGTCTGCCGTAAAGAATATCTTGCCTAAGCTATCTGAAATTGAAAAACTTATGAAGATGGACAGGCTCGCTGTAAATCTGGGTGAAAACACGATGATAGCCTTAGGCAATCTAAAAAAAGCTCTCAGGATTATCAATTCACCCAAAATCACAGCATACAAGACTGTGGCATACGATATTAATAGCGTGATACTGGAGGCAGGCAACGAAATGGTATTTATAATGGGCTTATCTGGTGCCAGCATCAGCTATAATCTTGCCAGCGGCAGGTTTGTAGCTTTTGATGAGCAATTAGATGATTGGTATTCAACAAGAAGCAGTGGTATCAACGCAGAGTACTGGCAGCGATAGGCATTTCCGCACCTTGGGCGAATACAGAAACATCAAGAAGGCCCACGCAGAAAACCAACTCCTTTGTGATTTCTATTATCAGCTGACAGGCACCAAGATAGAGGATAAGACTTTCGATCCAGACGAGTTCAGAAATCTCAATGTAATGGATCTCTCGCAGTTTGTAGTTGACGATGATTTGCGCCCGGTGATGAGCTGTATAGGCTATCAATCCGGCTATGCTATCGCCTCCGATGTCCATATACTTGTGGCAGTAAAGGATCAGTATATCCCGGAGCGTGATGGAGAGACATACAATATTTCCGGCTACAATATCAATGAGGGGGGGCGCAACAGAGGCCATTTCCCTTCTGTTGTGAATCTGATGAAAGAGTCTTTCGTTCCTATGGCTGAGGTGGATTTCGACATCAAGCGAATCCAGAAGGCGATGGATATGGTAAAAGGAATGTTGTACTCAATGCAGAATGTTGGAGTGCAACATACTATAATCAAGCCCTTGTATTTGAAGAAAGTATTTTATTTCCTCAAATATTGCACTAACCCCAAGGTATATGTCAACCCCAAAGGATGGCTCTATATTACCGACAAGGAGGGCGTTCATAACCTTATCCTCACAAATATAGAATGGAAATCAACTACTCCCTATGCAGACAGCCGGGATCTCAAATTCAAGGTGGCAACTGATAATTGGGATGAGATAATTAGCGAAAACTCCGACTTCGACGATAGGGCCAAGGCCGAGGAGTCTGTGGAGGTTATCAAGAAAAACTATGTGAATATCAGCCATATCTATGAGAAACTGATTGCATTGCAAGCCAAGCTGGCCATGGTAAAACGAGCAAACAGCGCATTAAAAGAAAAACTTATTTCGGAAAACAAATATTTCCAAGCCACTACCATAGGCCGCACCACCATCTACGGCCTCGGCGCAGTGGGCAGAAACTTGGTATCTCCCTGCCCGACAAGATAAGGAAACTGCAAGATGTTTCGGTAAAGCGCATAGATCTCGCAATCGAAAACCAATAATACGAAATACTATGAATCTAAAATACAAACGAGGCGACAAGGTTTGTATAAAAAATAGCGACAGCCAGTATGCTCAATTTTATGCAAACGTACAGAAGTTTTTCCCGGATGTTACAATTCCCCCAAATGCTATCTATGTAATAAAGAAACGAAACCCAAAGTACGGTTCGCTTTTAGCGTCAGGGTGGGATTATATCATCACATTGGATAAGACTTACGGAAGCCGCAAAAGCAAGCCTGAGTTTTATGTAAAAGAGAGCCTGTTGAAAAAATCAAGGTATCATTTCGGCGACTGGGTAACATTGCCGGACGACCATTGGATTTTCAAGAAGTTTGCCAAGGTGCAAAATAAGCGCAAGCACAAGCAATACACCGAGGTGAATATAAGAAATCCATTCCTAGTGGTAGGCCGCCACGGCGACGGATATTTGCTCTACAACAAGAGCACTGTAAGCAGCAGCGGAGGAGTGAGCGATGTTGAGCATATTTTCGGCTGGGACAAAAACACGGCCATCAAGGATTATGATATGTCGCCATCATCCACACAGCCCGGGATTACCGGGTCTGTGGCTGCGTTTGTGCTCAGATTTTTGCGTCTCCGGCTTATGACCACCAACGACCACAAGGATAGGGTTTTGCAATGGGGCACGGAGCTGATAAAAGGCAAGATTGACACCAAGGAGTTTCTGGATATGCTTGTATCGTGGAATGTTAACATGAACGTATTCCCGGCCGACTGCGCATTTATGCAGGAGCTCAGGAGCAAGTCCAAGAAATATATTGACTCTAGGCTGGCAGGAGGTTTCGGAGAGCCAGACCCTCTGTTTATCCCGGGCGATATTGTGTATGTGAGCGCCTATCCGCATGGCTACCCAGATCTTGCACACCGCAAATATCAGGTGCTGGAGTCGTCGGCCGAGCACAAGGGAGATACCGACTACCGATATTACACCCTAAAGGATGTGGAGACTGGCGAGGTGATAAAGCAGACCCACGGATATATGGGGCCGCACTTGTATTGGATTCCGTACAGGGTGGGCGATGTGCTTATGGCTATGGATTTCGACTGCACGCACCACAAGTTCGATGTAAAGATAGTGAAGATATTCACCAAGCCACAGCACGATGCCGCAATGTTCAAGCTGCGTTTCCCGGATGGAAGCATAAAGGAGGCATATATCAGCAGCCGTGTGCGCACATTCAGGCTTCACAGGGCAGAGGGCCGTGCGGTGGAATACTCATTCATATCTCAGGCCTATCTGGATATGGAGAAGGTGATACCATTCCGTCACAGGCTGGAGGATTTAAACAAAAAGCTGAGGGCAGAGGTGGAGCGCAGGGAGCGAGTTGAGAAAACCGAGAGACTGGCCGCACCGATGCCGAAGTTCAAGGTGGGCGACATCTACGGCAAAACCGAGAAGTCCAGATACCACACCAACGCAGGCCACGACATATTCCACAGTGCCTCGTTCTATGTGATGAGCATAGATCCTGAAATGGTGGATTACGACGGCCTGCACAAGGGATATGCCAAGGTGGAGACTGGCTACCAGCGATATCTGAAAAACTACACCATAGAGGACGTGAACAAGTGGCTGGAGGATGGAAAGCATTTCAAGGTGGATTTCCGTATCGGCGAGCCTGTACGCCTTGATTACAAGGGAAGCAGGAAACCATATACCATATACGGCAAGGTGAAGGAGTACAGATTTACGGAACTCGATACCCTGATGTATAAGATAGAGCCCGATGGGATAGACACAAGGCACGAGTATATCGTGCTGGCCGAGCAGCTGTCCCGATACAGCGAGCCTAAGTTCACCATCCAGCCGGGCACGGTGTTCGATGTATGGATGGACAAGGAGGACTGCAAGCACGGCGAGGCCAAGAGGTTCTCTTTGGAAATCCTAAGCATCAGCGGAATGTCGGCCACCTGCCGATATACGGGCCCAACGGCCACCAAAGAGAGGGAATACTCATTCAACGAGATCAACGATATTCTCGCCAGATCCGAGAGATACGAGAAGAAATCAAAAAAATAGATAATATGAAAGATACACAACAGAAACTCAATTTCGACACGCCCGGCAATCTGGGCAGCGTGTATTGGGGGCGTAGTCTCAGCCACAAAGACAGTCATTGGAAAAAGGAAACCGAATTTCGCAAATCAGTGTTGAAATACCTTCCCCTTTCCGACGAGGCCATAAAGACACTGAACAATTACCCGGAATTGGTGCTGGCACCAGATTATGAGAGTTCTACCGAGGAGAATATGGTAAAAAACCTCAACAAACTGCACGGAAACTACTTTTTTAGGATTAATGTTGGCTATCCGCACAATGTTGCTGGTATTGCTTGGATAGGTGGATATTCAGGCGCTGAGGTGGAGGCTTTTGTCATGGATATACTCAAAGATCCTATTTGGGTGTTTTTGTTCACTCATAAGTTTTGGTCAACAGGAAGTTATACTTCTTATCGACTTGGAGAAACACCTAGGATAAGCCTCGTAAGGTTGGAGGATCGTAATGTGTTTGGTCACTTCTGCCCTCTGGACATACTCCACCGCAATTATGTGGAAATAGCTGGCCGTACAGACAGCTACAACAACAAAAAAATTGACGATGGCCGCCGCCGTCCATTTGTAGGAATCCCATTTGTTTTCAAGACAGACGCTATCCGCTATACCCACGACGATGTAAGGGCCGTGAATAGTGCCGAGTTTTGGGATTTGGACGGCGAGGTGCCAGAAACAATCAACCATATCAAGCGTATGTATGGCAATATGCTGAAATACAACTTCCCAAAGGCCAGTTTCAAGGTGAGCCACAAAGCAGGTACAAAAAACCTTGTGGTAGCCTACAATGGGGTAAGGGAAAGCCAGATAGAGTGCATCAACAATTTGCCAAAATGTATGTTAGGCAAATATTATTACTACAACGAAGGAAGCGACATCCACGCATTGTTTCCATACTCCACTTCCGTGGAGTTCGTCGAGGACAAGAGCCTGCATCTGCCATCCGCCGCCGAGATTCGCCAGCGCATCCTCTTCAAGGTGCAGGGGTTTAGAAAAAAGTTGGAACTTTTGAACGAATCCAACAAAAAAACATTACCTTTGCCGGAGAACTTCTAACTACTGGATTGCATTATTTCCATTCTACTACTTTTACTAACACAACAATCCATTTAGTATGAAAGTAACAAAAATTCTCAGCAAGGCCGCAGACCTCAAAAAAGGCCTTCTCGTGCTGGAGTTCAGCGATGGCGAGGTGGGCAAGGTGGATTTTTCCGGCAAGCTCTCCAAGTGGAAACGAGGCAGGAATGGCGATTTGGCCAAGATAGCCGGATCGTTCGGCACGGCCTTCGTAAACGACGGCACTGTATGCTTCAAGTGCGGCTTGAAGTTCGATGCCTCAGACCTCTACGCCAAGGCCAGTTTCGGCGAGGGCAAGGCAAAGACCATCAGGCCATCCCACAGCTCTTTCTCGCTGGGGTCCACAATGAGCACGGATGTAATGAAGGTAACGAGCAAGGGCCTTCCATTCACAGGTATCTGGAGAGAGTTTCTGGGCGAGCCCGAGGGCAATTTCCTTGTAGTGGCATCGTCGCAGCCGGGTATGGGAAAATCCACCACGATGCTCAAATTTGCCAACTACCTCACCAAGTTCGGCAAGCCTCACTATTTCTCTGCCGAGGAAAACTACGCCAGATTGCAGCGCAAGCTAAAGCTCATAGGCGACAAGATCCACAAGTTTCCGATGAACGACAAATGCCAGTGCCTGCAAGATATTTACGATGTATTCAAGGAGGAGGGCGTGCCCGATTTCCTTTTTATCGACTCTCTCCAGCGTTTCGGCATGGATTACAACGACATAGTGGCCATGCGCAAGAAATACCCCAAGATGGCTATTGTCCTTATCTGTCAGGAGACCAAGAGCGGCAAGGTGCGAGGCGACAACCGCATCATCCACGAGGGCGATATTACCATATCGTCGGTAAGTCACGGACGCTTCAAGACCGACAAAAACCGCTTCGGAGAATGTACCGAGATTGTGATATTCGGCGACGACACCGCCGAGGATGAGGAATACGAAAACTAAAATCCGTTACAGTATGAGCAACAAGGCCGCACATAATCTATTCCTGTTTCAGATGGCCTTCAAGGTTTTTCTGATAGTAAGCACTCTGGGCATGAGCGTACATTGCGCCAATCTTCTGATGGGTGTAAGGATCTGCGTGGTGGAGTTTACCATAATACTCCCCCTCGTGCCCTTCCTGCTGCTGTATTCATGCAGCTACATCCTCAAATTGTGCCGTCTGTCCAGATGGATGCTTATATACAACTACATCGTATCAGTGTGTATCTATTTGCAGAAAAACTACGACTTTTTCGGCCAGTATCTTACACCTATGCGATGGCTGGTTATGAGCCTTGGCCTTGTGCTCTCTGTATTGCTTATCAGAAAAATGATCAATCATAAATGTTAGGATTTATGGCAAAAAGAGAGATATATACAGGATTGAAGCCGCAAAGCAAGGAATGGTCTTATTTTTGGGGTGCGTTTGTAAGGTCATACGAGACCTACACCGCACCCGAAAACTATTATGCCATCAAAAACGAGATAAGATCTATCCGATCCCGGAGAACATCAATACTCAACCGTATGAAGAAGTTGGCCGCTAATCCATATTTCAATGAACAAAAGGATCATTGGGTATTTGATACGGAAGGATCGTATCTTGGCCAGATGCTGGTGATAGTGCGCAGGTTGCGCAGGGCGTTGCAGCAGAAAAACGAGTTTCGCCGTTCCGGCCAGTTCGACAAGGCTATGGCCGAATATATGGAAATCAAGGATAAATGCCACGCAATGATGGCCAGATACCAGACACTATCGCAGGATGAGACGGACGAATACAACAGGCTTATAAATCGAAGCCTCGCCATCA